TGCACCTCTAGCATCCACGTGCACAGCTAGAATGGCGGTGTGCACCTAGCATCCCTCTGTTGGGAATGGGGCACAGAACAAGCAGATCCTTAGAGCTAGTAGTCTAGCCTGTTAGTAAGTTCCAGGTTCTGTGAGAGACAGTCTCAACAGCGAGATGAAAGGGATTGAGGTGGTCACCTGACACTGTCTTTTGGCTTCCAAATATGTGTGCGCAAATGTGCATGTGCTCTAGCCCACATACGTATACTACACACACACACACATGCACGCACACACATACACACACACACAGAGAGAGAGAGAGAGAGAGAGAGAGAGAGAGAGAGACATAGAGATTGGTTGCAAGGAGTAGTATGATTTTCTTTCTCAGATCAATCAAATAAAAATACTGAAAAAAAGACTCATCTAAAGAATGAACTGGGAATTATAACACTAAGCTCAAAAAACAGTAGCAAACCTGGCAAATTCCACACAGGGCTGCTGTGGGCAGGAAAATCAGCATCAAAAAAATGGAAACAAAAGCGACTTACAACAGAGCTATTAAATATTCACAAGGAATGAAACAGCACTTCTCTCATTCACTGGCAGCTAGGAAGAAGTGCTTGTTTTTTTATTGTAAAGTGCTCTGCTATTAATTAGAGGGTGATAAATAAAAGCAATCACATCCAATTTGAGAAATGAGATCCAGACCTCAATAGACTGTGTATTCCTTTCTCTGACACTGACATCTGAAAACAAAACAACCAAAAAAAAAAAAAAAAAGCCAGAAAACCCTCCAGTTGTGCAGGCAGAACTAGAACTGTGTGTTAGCAGTGCTCCACTAGCAGAGCCAGCTGTGAGAGTTCCCTTGCCAGAGCTTGCAGAGAATGGCTTGGCTCCCGAATGACGGAGATAATGTACTGTGTTCTATAAAGCTGGCAGGGCATCATTTGAAGAGATAATGCTGATCCCTTAAAACATATTCTCCAGTCCAGTGTGTTGGCACATTCCCCAAATCCCAGCAACTTGGAAGGCTGAGGCAGGAGGATCACCAGGAGTTTGAAAATATATATGTATGTATGTATATATATATATATATATATATATATATATATGAAGCTGTACAGAGGAACCCTGTCTCCACAAAAAAAAAAAAAAAAAACCAAAGCAAATGCCCCACATCAGCAAAGAAGGAGTCACTTATTTTTTAAGTTAGTGTGACCAAGGAATCAACACGTTTAATTGCACATTTAATTACAGGTGAAAGTACTTTATGGGTGCTGAATACCCACTCACTGGGTGCTTCAATGGGTTCAAAGTAAATTTAGAGTACTGTTGGTAACTTAGCATTGTTTCTTAGAGTAATAATAATAATAATAATAACGTAATTAAATAATTAAAAATAACTTAAATAATAAGAGATAACCTTCAGGAAGGCAAGACACAGCCTTGCCAAGAGGCGGATGAAGTGCTGCATGTCAAGAGCTGATGAGCACGAGAGATGGATGATGGTGGATGGAGAGGGAATGCCAGTGTTTGGTGTTCACAGTCTGAGGTCTGACAGACTCACCCAGTTACACACTGAAGCTGCTTACAATAGCCACTGTACATCCACAGTGGCAAATTTGGCCTTGAAAGTCTGTCATGGCCCTGTGCTAGTTCTCATACCCCCTTTCTCTTCCTTGGACTTCATCACGACAAACGGCTTAACTCTTCTGGGCCCATTTCTGTGACTGCAAATACAGACGTCTCCAGAACTTATCTCAAAATACCACTACAGTGATTAAGTAAGTTAATTCCTTTAAAATGCTTCTTGTGATTAGCACTGGCACACTGCAGGGACATTTGACCATTGTCTGAGCATCACTGAACTCAAGGAAGAGAAAATTCTGCAACACAGAAATTAGACATCACTAACATCCCCCATCCATGTGTGTGCATGCACACACACACGCACACGCACACACTTCTGTTGAATAAGATGGGCACTGTCAAGCCCTGTTCAGTGACAGGGAGATGTTTGAAATATGGCATTGTTGTTATGAGACATCACAGAACATATATGTCCAGTTGAGTTGGCCAGAGTCACCAGGTGGTCCTGTCCATTGCTAGCTAAAATGCTATCAAGCATGTGACTGTACAATGTTCATTAAGGGAATTGATCTAAGTATATTTGATTTGCGAAAACTGAACAGAAAAGGTTAATTTCAAAGCTTATGGGTTTTGATTTTGATAAAGTGCGCAGTCACAATACAAACTAGCAAATTCAATTTATTTAGAATATTCCATGACATCTACTTTATATCATCATTATTTTATTTGGAACACACACACACACACACCTTCATCCTTTCTCGAAACAAAGGTGCCCTGACAGCAGGCATGGAGTGTGAAAAATAGTGCGGCTTGTGGGTGTGGTGTGTACTGGCTAGATTTTTTTGTCAATGTGATACAAGCTAGGGTCATTTGGGAAGAGCTATCTTCAAATGCGAGAATGCCTCCATCAGATCAGCCTGCAGACAAGTCTTACAGGGGCGTTTTCTTAGTTAGTGATTGACATGAGAGGACCCAGATCCCCGTGGGCAAGGTTTCCAAAAGCTGCTGAGGTCAAGCAATGGGTGGCCGAGTCAGATCCCCTTCAGGAAGGCCCCATGAGCCCCGACATAGGGCTGTGAAAGGAAGCCTCACTCAGGATATCAGAGAGCCAGGATTGTGGGGTGTTCACTGAGGAAAGCCATTCTAAGACAGACTGTGTGTGCTGGAGATAGAGCAAGAGAGGCAAGGCCAGTGGAGACCAGAGGCCACTACCACAGCGTGAGATGCTTGGAATGGAGCTATGGGATTTGGTTCCCATGCTCGATGCAGACCCGGCCTATGCCCTACTTTTCCTTTCTGTGCCCATAGTCCTTTCCTCTTAGAAGGAAAACTTTCATTTTGTGCATTGTAAACCGGAAATAGTTGACTTAGTCTTTAACTTTACAGGTTATCACAGCTAAGAGACTGCTTTGGGTGTCACCAGAGACTTTGGGCTTTTGAGCAATTAGATCTCAAACTGTTTAGATTTAGGGGACTCTCATAGATGAACTAAGTCTACGTTGCGCTATGAGATGATCATGAGTCTTCGAGGCCCAGGGGTGGGATTTTAAAGCTTAAATAGTATGTCTGAGTGTCCAGCAGGAAAGGGTGGGCTTGAGGTGTTTCATCTTCATTGCCGGCCTACCGAGACCTGGAATCACCTGGGAGACACACACCCGAGTGTGGTGGTAAGGGCACGACCAGACGGCAGGTGCAATCTAGGGAGGAAGATCGTCTTGAGTGTGGGCAGCACTGTGCATGGATTAGAGTCTCTGTCTTAATAAAGAGGAAGGAGGAGCACACCTGAATATCAGCACTCACCTTTCTCTGGCTCTTGACTTCGGACATAGTGTGACAACTGTCTTACACCCCCATGTCCTTAATTTCCCCTCGTGACGGACCGTGCCACTTCTCTAACTGTGGGCTTTGTCAGGAGTTTTGTCCCGGAAATGATGCAGGGATAGACGCAGCCCCTTAGGTGACATGCCTCTGGATGGCCAGCTTGTTCCTCTGTGGGTGAGCTCAAAATATCTCCCCAGAAGAGCGAAGAAAGAGGAGGAGGCTTAGCGACAGGGGACAGGAAGTAAGACCCGCGCCATACAGCAGGCTCTCCTAGGGAGCTTGGCACACTCCAAGCAGAAACCTGGCAGGCAGCAGGCTTTGCTATGTCACTGTTGCTTCCAGGGGAGGGAACTGAGCTGGCTCCCCTCTCCAGGAGTGGGATCCAGGGAGGAGAGAGAAGAAATCTCAGCAGAGAGAGGAAGGGCCCTCCTGTGCTCTGTCACCACAGGCTATATGGTGCCCAATGAAAGGCTGTTGCTGGGGAGAGAACATGCCTGGTACCACGGTGACCCCCTGAGAGGAAGGAGAGCAGAAAAGCTTTGCCTCTGGTTACCAATAGCAACTCACACTCCCCTTGCCGGTCTGGCGACTTAGAGACTGTCATTGCTTGTGGCTTTTCTGTTTCCTTCCCCTCTCTCTGTAGTGTGCCTTTCCTCCGTTCAGCTGGGGTTGCTATGTCATTACCAGCTGATTGGTACTAATTAAGCCTGCTCTATGTGGTGGGTGTGTGCCTGTGGGTGGGAAACACGAGGATGCCAGTCAAGGGCCTGAGCCTCAAGTCCTACAAAAAGGGCCAAATGACTTGTTCCTTTTCAGTTGAGCTGCCCAGGACTTACATCTAGGGGGAAAAATAGAAGGAGGTCACAGGTGGGCAGGGATTAACTCCAAGACAAGAAGAACCAGAGATAAAAGAATGCAACAGGAGGCCATGCCACTTCTGTAGCAGGGGAGGGGGAGCATCAGATTTTTGTTACAGAATAATAAGACATAAAGACTACACACGGAAGTGACAGTTCATATCTGGCTTAACCCGAGGACTCCGTCTTCAGACCTCACCGGATCGTTCGCCATCCACATTCCCATCATGCCCCCTTGTGACAGTGTGCATGTGGTAGCTCTTTAGAACAAGTCACCTTCATGTCAGGACAAGCTTATTAAGAACAAAGGTTATACTGCTCTCCCCAAAATAGGAAGCCAGCATGCCCTGTCACAGAGAGAAAGGAACTAAAAAAAAACCCCACAAAGACCCACAATTTCCCATGCCAGAGACATCGCATGGACCATTAGCGGGTCTGTGTGGGTGCGCGGGGAACCACTGTCTTGAGGACTAGAAGTCAGTCAATCTAATGGGCTGACTCTAAATCATCACCTCTCTGATGAAAAGTGTCATGTAGTCGGGAAAACACACTGTGGTCATAAATCATGGCGTTTTCATGCCATTACTTGGGATCCATTTTGGCAAATAGCTCTTTGCCTTGAGGATAGGGTTAACAATGTGCTGTACAGACGGCAGGTAATGAAGCTGCTAGTTCAAGATGAATGGTAGGTAGCATACAGAATGTCACCTGCAAGCTGTGGTATGCATCCTTTTAATCCACCCAGAAGGACCTAGAGAGGGATCCGAGATAATTCAAAAGATCTCAGAGAGGCTGTGCACATGGCTAAGTCAGTACAGTGCTTGTCCGGCAAGCACAAGGACCCGAGATCAGATCCCCAGAACACACATAGTACAGTAGCCAGGTACAGTAGCATGTGTCTGTAACCTCAGTGTTATGGAAACTGAGCCAGGGGGATTGCTGGGACTCACTGGGCAGCCAGTCCAGACAAAGTGGCGACCTCTGTTTAATGAAACACCCTTTCTATAAAACTAAGGTAAGAAAGCCACCGTGAACGATAACTGAGGTCAACCCATGGCCTCTGCACTCAAGCACACATGTGCACCTGCAGACGCATGGTCTCACACACACACACACACACACACACACACACACACACACACACACAGGGAGGAGCACAGGAAAGCTTCACCCATAGATCTGCAAACTACTGGAGGGCAAACTCACCACTTCTTAGACTTGAGGCGAGGCGCTGGGTTCCGGGGGATGAGGAAGAGGGCTCTCATAGGATGCATGTCACAGAGGGCTGTGGGAGACCGAAAACAAGAACCAGAGCCAGTCAGAGGCCAAATCCACGCTACCATCTTGGCTATGCAGAAAACGCTGCACAAGTGTTCAATGTCCATAAGGCGCCTGCCAGTAAGGGGTCAGAAGACCCAGGCACTTCTCTTGGGCAAGCATTTCAAAGGGCTGGAGCCTAATTAGATGAATATCATAAAATTCCCATTTCAAACAGATACTAACAATCCTAATGACCATGACTTCATGTCATAAGGAAAATAAGCTAAAGGGCCAAAAACCCGGCCATCTCGGTTGTAGTAGCCACTTGCCATTCAAAATCAACTGCAGCAGATGTCAGCTCTGATTGGCGTGGCTGAGGTAATTTTATTTAACAAAAGCCTAAGCTATAATCTAAGAGGCATCTAGACATCCACAGCCCTTTCTCCCTATTGGAGGCTCATGCAAACACTGGTATCTCTGTGTATTTCTAGGCTCTTGGTACCCTGAAACTTTCAGGTTGCATGGGGTGTCTTGAGTTTGAAATCCTCCAGCCCCAGGATGACCACAGAATGAAAGTCAGCTCATAAACACACTATCATGAACTCACTCTACATTCTTATTTCAATCCACGTATCCTATCGCTTACAGTGAGAATACATTTTTTTTTTGTACCAAGATTGAGAATATATGCTCCCTTGATGCCAGAGGACTCTGTGGGTAGTTTATTTTTACTCTTGTCTACCACTCAGGATGATACCACAGTTTTAAGAGTGTGGTATCTGAAATTTGGCGACTCACAAATGCCACCGTGAGCAAAGGAAATTTTGTCAACAAACACTCCAAGTCAATCACGCCGCGCATGGATTCAAGGAACTTAAGGAAAATGAGAGGGCAGCGAGGACTCCGAGAGCCCTAAGTCTAAGAATGAGCGGTCATGAATGTCCTTGCAGGTCTTTTCAGCCCTGGGTCTGTGCGGGGTGGATGAGAAGGTGTGAAGGCGTGGGAATGCTCATGCAAGGACACTCCTGGGGGACGGAGAAGGGGCCAGGAAAGAGTCATGCTACAGTGACGCAATCCTAGCCCTGGGTGGGGGAGGGAAGGTGGGTCCGAGACTGCCCTGTAGTCCCAGGCAGGGACAGCGTGGTATCAGGATGTTGCTTGAATCACAGCAGCCTGCGAAGTGAGCCCACGCCTCCCAGGAAAAGGTGTGTTGGTGTCTACTAAGGTTGGCACTGAGGGGCAGTCAGGGACTTCTAGGCGGTACAGCCTCAACCCCCCACCACTGCAACAGCTTCCAGAGGCTTCTGTGGTGCTAGCACAAAGTTCCAGGGGACTGGGGAGGTTCTCAAGATGGCAAGCATCCGGGACACTGCTCCTATAAGGGCAGGGACGTCTTAAATCCTAAATCCTAATATTTCCAGGAGAGGGGCAGCCTCTGAGTGCAGGTGCTTGTGAAAGCTGTGCCTAGGGATTGAGCTTTGGAGTTCTGTACACGGTGCTGACATTGCCTGTGGTTGCGTCAAGTTCTGTGTAAGGCAGAGTGCCTCAGGAGTGAACCCCACAGTAAGGCAAAAAGTGGGTAAGGCAAGAAGACTCGTCCGCGTTAGCGTTCTTTTTCCTAGCAAAACCACACTGATCTGAAACGAACAGACATCCTCGCTGATTTAAGACGCTCCTGCTCCTTAAATATGCCACATCAGACCCATGCCAGGCTCAGTGGAGCAGAATGAGTCCAACCGCAGCCCTGGCAAGGAACCTGCAGAACCCGCAGGACCAACCAGCAGCAAATTTTACCCGGGGAAGGAACTTACGGGGTGCACCTTCTGCCATCTCAATGGCGGTGATTCCCAAAGACCACAAGTCACTCTGTAAAACAAGAAAGCACAGATACACACACAAATTCAATTAACAGAGCACAATTTGGTTAAAGCTGGTAATGACTTCAGAACTGCCTGTGGGGAAGTCAGTCCATTGTCTGTTTACGAACCTATTTCTCCCACCAAGCTGCCGAGCTGGAGGAGTCACACTTGGCTTTGCACTGCATGTATTTTTCCTGGTGCCTGGCATATGGTATGCTCCCAATAAGCATATGAAAAAATATATAAGGATTTTTAAAGTTAATTTATTACTGAGACTTACATGTTAGTGGAGCCACAGGAAATTTTGCTGTTTCCAGTTTTTTAACTTGGGTAAAATAAGGGTTTCATGACACTATTACATCTGCCTAGCATCTGCCTTTCCTCCCATCTCTCTTCCAGCCTCCTCTCTTCCCCTTCCACACTGTTGTTAGTCCCCTCCCTTCTCCCAGATAGGTTCCCCCTCCTATCTGCTCTCCGTCTCAGACACAGTTTTGTCTTTCAATGCTTTTATTGGCTATAGCTGTTACATAGTACACGGCACATGTATGAAGATACCACCCGCTAAGGCGTGGCACTCCTGCGTCTTCGCCATCATGTTGAGGCAGCAAGCATACCTCCCAGAAGATTGCACTCTCCTTTCGTAGGCTTCCCCTCTTTCCCAGCTCTCTTTCCACTCTCTAGGTAACTTACCCATCTGTTCTCTGTCACTGTGGATCACATCTTCCAAATTTCACAGAGAAAACAAAACGGTAGGGGGCCTTTTGCATCTGTTTTTTTTTTCCACTTATGAAACATTCCTGAAGGCCCTCCTGGTTGCATCATATTGATACTTTGTGTCTTTTTGTTATTTTATTAGTATTCTACTAAGCGAATGTACTGGAGTTTGATGTACTTGCAGAGAGACATTTGGAGTGTGTCCAGTTTGGGCTACTCTACAGAAAATGGTTGCAAACCCTGGTGTCTAAGTCTTGGGGACAAGCTTTTATGCCTTCTAAATAAATTCAGAACTGCTGAACCATTTAGTAGGTATTAGTCACATTCAACATGTCCAATGCACAACAATGTACCTGTTATAATGACAGGACGAGGATGGGGGGGTTCTGAGGGGGGAATTCGCGTGCATTTCAAACAAGCAGCCAGATGCTCTCTAGCGCATTTACAAACTGCCATGGAGGTCGGGTCTTCAGCTCTAACCTGCCTTCTTTTTTTGTTTTTCGAGACAGGGTTTCTCTGTGGCTTTGGAGCCTGTCCTGAAACCAGCTCTTGTAGACCAGGCTGGCCTCGAACTCACAGAGATCCGCCTGCCTCTGCCTCCCGAGTGTTTCTAACCTGCCTTCTTACATTTGGCTGACTGTCACGTTCTAGCCAGAGTTTTCCCTGGTCAGGGCTCCCTGCTTTACTGGAAGGAATCTCCATGTCTCTCTATCCATGTGTGGTGATCTCTGAGTATGTCATGGCCAATATCAGCAAGACAAGGAGGAAACCATGAGACGAACCCAGAAGGATGCTCACTGCTCCCTCCTCTCAGCTGATGGGTAAGAACACCTACATGGCTCCGGTCCAGGGATTGCATTCTGATGTCACCAACCATCACACTCCCAGGTTTTTAGGGGTTTTATGTACATTATTCAAAATTCTCCCTTGCAATTCTCCTTTGTACTCAAATTATAAATATCAAAGTGAAGCTTCCTTGCTATCCCCATCAAACAAATGTCAAGGGCACAAGAAGGTGTGTGTGTGGGGGAAGGGTATAATTGGAAGGGAGTCATGGACTACATGCTGAGTCATTCCCTCGCACTGAATTTCTCAGTAGCCTGTGACTGACAGGCAGCCTGCTCAGTATATGAGCAGAGTCCCTTAAGATATACAAGGGGATATACTGGGTGCCTAGCCTACCTCCCAGAGTGCAGTCCCCTTAGAGCGGGTAGCAATGGGGACACTGAGGCGCTGGGCCCACACAGCAGTGAGGGGAATCAACTGCTCTCCTTGGTCTCTGCTCCTTTTCTGGATTTCTTCCAAATCTCTAGATGATACAAACACTCTCAGAATGTGTGCGTTCCAGCAGATGACTGTTACTTGTGCTGGCTCAGGCGTGTAACGCGACAAAGATGAGAACATGGCTCTCTTGTACCTGGCCTTACAGTTGGCACACAGAGTGGCTTCGGAACAGGAGAGAACATCAAGACACTCGCTGCGTGGGTGGTGTCAGACAGGAAACGGAGAAGAGCTGGAAGTGGCAGGTCAGCGTCAAACGTCCCTGTGCTGTCCTAAAAGTGCTCCAGCGACCTCAGGACTTGCTACTTTCCCCAGCCATTTCCCCAAAGTCTAGGAACAAAGCATTTCTGGAGCTTGAGAAAGCAAGGTTCTCTGCCGCTAACTGCCATGGCAGGGGTGGGCTGGAGCGGCCTTCAGGCCCAGGGAGCTTTGTGCTGGTGTGACAGTTCACACATTTGAAAAGAAATGATGGCACCAAGCTGAGAGGGCTCCGGGCCAACCTTCAGAGAGAGAAAAATTACAGCGCAGCCTGGCTCACTTCTGTTTCTGAGTTTCTGTTCAAACTTTCCCACATGGAGGAGAGGTGGCAAAGAGGACAGACCCACGGGGATGTGCAAGCTGGACTCTCTTTTTTCCCTCCACCCTCTAGGAAGTCTGGATCCCAGCAGCTTCCTTCTGCTGTGCCAACCACTGGCTTTTCTCGCGTTAGCCGCTCACACAGGTGATGGCCCTCACCATGCTGTCTGTGTTCTTTATGCCCTTTGCCTCAACACTCAGGGTGGGGACAGGGAGAGAGATGGAGGAGAAGGAAGATGGGAAGAGAGAGAGAGAGAGAGAGAGAGAGAGAGAGAGAAGGAGGGGCAATAAGCCCATGTTTTGTAGGTCTTTGTTTTGTTGACTGGACAGTATGGTACATAGTAGACTCTTTTTATAGATGTGATGAATGAGCAAACAAGGAACTATGGTCCAGACTGCCTACTGTCTTCACAGACCTCCTTACCCCAGATCACAGAGTCCATATAGAAAATGGAGCTGGCTTTGCTATCACAATGCCAGGTCTTGAGAATTCATCTTTAAGTCAGCAACCCACAAATAATTGTCCCTGACTCTTACTTTGTCCACAAGTGACAGAGGTGTTGGGGAAACAAAGGAGCAGAGATTCAGTGACGTCCCATTCCTATGCTGCAAAGCTAGCCTTAGTTTCCTAGGGAAATGTAGGTTGGTAGAGAGAACAAGTTTCAAACGCAGACACAGCCAGATTTGATTCCATGTTCCTGATTTAGTGACTTGCAGAATGCTGCCCAGCTTAGCTTTCTCAACGGCACAGGAGGTGCTGGTGGCATGCATGTTTTCAGGAACACTGCCTAGTACAAAATCTGGTGCACAACAGGGCTCAAGCATATGGATTTTCCTTGCCTGTACTGCTGGGTGAGGGTCCTTGGTCCCCCAGTTTGGTTGTCATGGTTTTCTCCCATGCAGTTGTGACAGACATCATTTGTTGGCTAGCCTGAACCCCACTCCCACTGTCACCTCCATTTCATGGTACCCCAAAGTTACATTTGTGTATCCTGGCACCCCAGCAGTGGGTTACATTTATGGCCAGAGCTATGACCAATGAAACATACACAAATAAGCCTGGGAGTTTGTGCTTTCCCAAAATAGGGAGCTAATGCAGCGGGTGGTATTCTACAAGCTCCTTTCAACTTCTTCATGTCTTGAATACAAACATGGTGTCTAGAGTTGCAGCACCCGTCTCGCAAACTGAGGTCATATGCCAAATGAGTGACACAAGGGCAGAAAGGCAGCAGGCAGAGCTTCTGAAGCCATGCTCATCCCATCAGCTGTGGACAGCATGACTCCAGACGATTCCAGGCAAAGATATTTGCAAATGATCATATGTATGTGTATATGTATATGTGTGTGCGTGTGTGTATTTATAGCTGTGTATATGTGTACGTGTGTATGCATGTACACAAATGTTTATACTATGCATAGGTGTGCATGTGATATGCATACATAGATGCATGTATATACACAGTAATAGTAGGAGGAAATATGAAGAGAAAGAACTTGACTGTAGGAAATTGGGAGGTCTCCCCTGCGAGGCCTCCCTGGAATTGTACCGCAGGAAGAAGGGATGGTTAGTAAAGAAAAGACGTCTCTTTCTTAGCCTCTCTGTTCACATCAGAGCCCTATCATCCCATCCCAACAGCCTGTGTCTCTGTCCTTGTCTAGTGACGTGGCCAGGCCAGTCACTTGACTATGGTTTGTTGAAGACTTTATTTCACATTACTGTCAGTATCATTTTGTACTGGAGTTATTCCATTTTTAAAAGAGAAATAGTTATATTCTTAAATTCTTGATCATATAGACCCAAAGCTGCTTGTAAAGCTTTGCTTAACTGCCTGTGCTGGGAGGTTCTAAACGTCCCTGACAGGCCCTGTTTAACCTTTAGATAAATTAGTGGATCCAAAGACACTTCAGAACTTAAATAAAGGGGGAAATGCTCGCATTACCACTGGCAAGACAGAGTGCTGGGGATGAGCAGGGAAGAGAGCACAATAGGAGAGCGAGGCAGAGATAAGTCTCCTCCGTGACCACGGTGTGACTCGTTTTGGCAGGCGTTGGGCAATTCATTATTTCAGCAGTGCTGTGCCGCCTGGCCTGCAGCATGATTAATGGCCCATCCCTGTGCGCACTGCAAACGGAACAGAGACAAATCCTAGTGCCGCTGAGAAGGCAGACACAAGGTACAGCTTCTGGCTGAGGCCTGGGGACAGTTGGCACATAGTAACTTGCACGTAACAAAAGAGCATTCTTCCTTATCTGGGCTGCCCAGCTCAGTGGAAGAGAGCATCCATACCCTAAAATTGCCATTCAAGGAGAGAAATGGCATAGCTAGACGTCTAGTGTGCCCTACTGCAGCCACGGACCTGGCTCTGCCACGCAAGGAGAGGAATGGGTAGCTAGACGTCTAGTGTGCCCCACTGCAGCCACGGACCTGGCTCTGCC